GAGCGATGCCTTCTCTTACCTGGAATCAGATGGGCTCCAACACAGAAGGAAGGAGGTCGGGTAGTGGAATACAGAGAGGGACCACACCTCTCCAAGAACCTCCAGTTACAGGTAAGTAACCTCCATTTCTTCGAGTGCTGGTCCCTACATGTATTCCACATGTGGGAGATTGGTAAGCAGTATTCAGACAGGAGGAAGGTGCGAGAATGCAGTTGGTATAGATGTCTGTAATGCTGCTGTATACAAAGCTGCATCTGCTTAAATAGTCTAGACTAGGGCATAATGTTTCATTAAAGGTGTGGATAGGGCTCCAAGTAGACGCCTTACAAACATCCAGTATTGGTACTTCTCAAAGAGATACCATTGAAGTCGTTCATGCTCTCTTGTAGAATGGGCCCTCAACCTGTCCAGGAGAGGCATATGTGCCAACAATAGAATGATGTTTCCATGTTGTGCGTTCTAGGCCTCCTCAAGAGGTATCTGGAGCTCGGCTACCACCCTCTGTAACAGTTCCTGGACCACAGGAAGTACATCAGGCTGAGAAGGGGATAATAAGGTAATTGCCTCATTGGGTATGGAGGATGACACACCTGGTAGGATTCATTTCGTCCTCAACAAACTCCGATGGAGCCGGTTGGTAACAGCTGGGAGAAGAGCGTTGGTGCGATTGTTGCACAGATCCAGGACATCTATTGTATGGATCCCATACAATACTTACTTACTGGGGCTCAGTAAGACCAATAGGAAGGTTTGACCAATTGGGGGGCCTCCAAGGGATAGGATACCAATGGTCCCCCGGGTATTTGTAATGAGGAGGAGGAGGGCAGTTCCAATACCTCCTATGGGTTCTTTCTGGTTGTGTCCCCCTCGGAGGCCAAGGAGAGGAGAGCGACTCATCTGGATGATCAGATTCATATGACGAAAAGGTAGGCTCCTGTTCTCTCAGCAGTTCCAGTGATACTGGTGGAGGACTGCTCCAACTTGTGGATGCAGTAGGGGAGAATCCTTTTTCTCAAGGTGGATTCTTCTGGTGCTGAAATGTCTCTAAGGAGGACTGGGCCTGATAGAGGAGGAGACTCTGGATACGGCAGAGCAAAAATATCCTCTGGAGAGGTAAAAGTTTCAGTCCTTCCTGGAATTTGAGGAGTCCATGAGGTGGGGGGACTGATGGATCCGGGTTGTATAATGGTCTGGTATTCAGAGGATCCTACTAGGCGTGTGCTGGAACTAGGTAATGGGGGCCATTGTGAAGCTCCCAGACGGGGCCGGGAGGTGCTGATCTTTTGGCCTATGGAACCAAAGCCAGTACAGTCAGATACTTCTTCCTTTGCGCTCCTCCTTCTTGGATGGAAGATTTATGCAGACATAATTCTTTAGGGTGAGCATTCACCCATCTTGGACTGAGGCAGGAAGAGATACTTCTTAGAGGTAGATCTGGATGAGGATCTGTCCTTACGCTTATGGTCATGTCCCCTACTCTGAAGAGAGAGTTTTTGGGCTCAACAGTTTTGGCCTCTACTCTGGAACTTGTGGTCAGGGAGCAATGCTTGCAGTCTGAGGCTGCTGTACAGGGGGTTCTCCCCAGTCTGGATCTGACTGGAGTTACATGGCATTCTCCCTGAGGTGCTTCCACAGATGAAGCTCTCATCCCTCATGGGTTTGAAGACAGAAGAAGTGGCAGATGCTGAATTTGGTGGCAATGTGAGCCTCTCCCAAGTAGTAAAGGCAGCACTGGTGTTCATCACTGATGGACAAGGAATGGGGGCAGCAGATACCTTTCTTAAATCTTGAGACTCTTAGCATAGTTTAGTTCTCCCAGCAAAGAAGGACTAACTATACTAGCTTTAAAAAAAACAACACTAAAGTCCAAACTTACTAAAAACTATTTACAAAATATATTTACAGATGTTGAAAATAGAGAAAGATCGTAGCTGACAGAGAGAATTACAACTCAGGCCATGTGGTGGTAAGAAGGAACTGGAGAGGTGTCAGTCCACACTGCCCTTTATGCCCTCGGTTTGGAGCACGAGGAGAGCAAGTGCATGGGTGCGGACCAATAGACACTACTTGCTACAAATCTCCAGTCTCAGGCACATGGAGCGCATGCATATACCCACATGTGGAATAAACAGCATTCGAAGAAGACTATAGAGCTTTATACCCCCGTGTTGCCAATTCAAACCCAATCCAGGTTGGTAGCGACCAAAAGTTGTTAATGGCCTATGTGAAGCAAGTTATTGATTTCTGTCCAGTTCATAATGCAATAATGAGCACCCTTCCCAATAGCTCCAGGCACAGAGGATTGACTGAGATGGAGCACTAACTACTCTTGTGTCTACACCTAGGTTTGTTTTACACTATTTTTGGCTTAAAAGGATAGGGCACTAATGTTAAATGAGGCTCTAAATGGGCACAACTATCTACTTATGAGGGCCTAAATTATTATCTGAGCATGAAGAATTCACTGAAGACAAGTTTTAACTTTCCCTAAAAAATGGTTACCTACCTTTTTGTAACTGTTGTTCTTCGAGCTGTGTTGCTCATGTCCATTCCATTCCAGGTGTGTGCACGTCCATGTGTACAGTCGTCGGATATTTTTGCCTTAGCGGTATCCATAGGATGAGCTGTAGCGCCCCATTGAGTGCCACACTCATGCATTGGTATATTAGGCGCTGCCGACCCTATGCCCTCTCAGTTCTTTCTTGCCGGCAACTCTGACAGAGGGGTAGGAGGGCAGGTAGTGGAATGGACATGAGCAACATATCTCGAAGAACAGTTACAAAAAGGTAGGTAATCGTTTTTTCTTCTTCGAGTGCTTACTCATGTCAATTCTATTCTAGGTGACTCACAAGCAGTATCCTCGTAGGTGGGCTCGGAGTTCATAGCCTAGCGACTTGCAGTACTGCTCTACCGAAGCCAGCATCGGGCCTGCTGGATAAGTGCATAAGGTACGTGAACGTGTGGACGGACAACCAGGTGGCTGCCCTACAAATGTCCTGGGTAGGCATGTGGGCTAGGAAAGCTGCCAAGGAATCTTGCACCCTGGTTGAATGGGAGGTTACGATCGCTGGAGGTGGCACCTTTGCCTGATCATAACAGCAGCATATGCAGGCAGTGATGCAAGAAGAAATTCTTTGAGCAGACACTGGATAGCCTTTCATCCTGTCAGCCACCATGACGAAAAATTGCATATAGGGCGGTTCCGAGGTAAGTGCCCTAATCTCGGAGACCCAGCAGGCGGATGGTATCGCAACTAGGAACGCGACCTTCCAGAACAGGAGAAGGAAAAAGCAGGAATCCAGAGGCTTGAAGGGGGGTCCCGTGAACAGTCACAGCACAAGATTCCGGTCCCATGGCAGAACGGGGACCCTGACATGCGGGTAGAGGCACTCGAGGCCCTTGAGGAACCTGGCAGTCATGTCCTGGGCAAAAACCTACCTACCCTCGAGCAGCAGACAGAAGGCCGAAATAGTGGCCAATGGACCTTGATAGTGAAAGGGACAGGCCTTGGAGTTTGAGATGCAGAAGGTAATCCAGGATCAAGCACGGTGAGGCCTGCTCGGGCCAAATACCTTTATCCTGAAGAGGGACGGGGAAGGGGGGGGACGGCCATGAACTGCAGGGTGTAGCCTGAAGATATTATGTCGAGCACCCAATGGTCTGAGGTCAGCTGCGACCAGGCCAACCAGAAGGGGCGCAGGCAGTTGAGGAAAGAGCAGGGGGGTGGATCCTGGGAAAGTGACTGGGGTGCCATCCTCAGGCGCATCCTTAAAACGTCCATTTCCGGCTTCCTTGGCCTCTGGAAGAACCAGGCTGGACAAAGGAATGGGAAGATGAAGGGTGATGCCGTTTAAATTCTTTGTCTCTGTCCTTCTTCCTGTAGGAGCTGGACCGACACCCCAGGACCTTGATGGAGGCGGAGGGGGACAGAACAGCTTTCTAGCCTGCAGAGTGGTGTGTAGACTCAGAAAAGAGCTCTGTTCCCTAAAACAGGAGGTCCTGAAGGGTAGTCTGCATCTCCTGGGACAGTCCAGAGGACTGTAATTAGGAGCTGCGCCTCATGACCAACGCAGAAGCGACTACCCTGGCCACCAAGTCCGTAGTGTCCCAGGTCATCTGGAGGGCACCTCTTTGCCCTCTTCCACCAAGGCAGCAAATTCCTGGGCTTGGTCCTGTGGGAGGCCCTCCTTGAACTTGCTGATGGAGTCCCACAGGTTGAAGTTGTACCTGCCTAGCAGGGCCTGATGGTTAGACACCCAAAATTGCAGGCTGGCTGTCGAATAAATTTTCCTGCCAAACAAGTCCACCCTCTTGGTATCTTTATTTTTCAGTGTGCCACTCACCTGGCACTGCCTGGCCCTTTCGTTGACAGTGGATATGACCAGGGATCCCGATGGATTCCATTGCCGGTGGTGGAATAGGAATAGGGCATGCCCCGCTCTGAGGCGAAGTCCCAGCCAGGACTCTAACTCCTAAACTCCTACTCTAACACTTAACGTAAAGGTCTAGCTAAGTACCTATCAACTAACAACAAAGGAGACAGAACAACGGATTGTAAGAACCGCTATCGCTCTTGCAATGTAAGACAAGGCACTCTGACCAACCATCATGGGCGGTAAGAAGAAACTGAGAGGGCATAGGGTCGGCAGCGCCTAATATACCAACTCATGAACGCGGCACTCAAGGAGGCGCTACAGCCAACCTACAGATACCGCTAAGGCAAAAATCTCCGACAACTGTGCACGCACACACACCTAGAATGGAATCGACATGAGCAAGCACTCGAAGAAGAATAATCCTTATTAATAGAAATGACTGCTGATGAGGAAGAAGATCCATAAAGCTACAACTAAAAACCAGAAAAATCTGTAATAGCCCAATGGAATTTGAATAAAGCCTCTAAGGGAAAAGAAGGTTCAGTGAAACCATTTAAACTTCACTGTAGTGTCTGATAGTCAACAGATGTCCTGGCAGTGGCTTCATCCTCTAAGTGAAATTACCTTTGTTGGCCTGTTGAAAAGACAGGCACCTCCCCCTCTGAGTAAAAATTCTTTGTATTCTGCAATGCTGCATCTTGAAAATTTTCTGGAGTGGTAAACCCTAAAATGACAAAGAATCAATTGAGTAAATACCTCACTGAACCCAGTTACTAGAGATGAAAATTATAACCCTCCTTTGAGCTGCTCTAAATGTTTTTTGCTACAAGAGAGGTATACAACAGTCAGAGCAATAACAGCAGTTCAGTGGGAGTCCTTCATGTTTTGAAAAACAAAACAAAAAAAATCAAGCATTTTAACACTGTTTTGTATTTTTTTAAAATTACATTTCTCTCTTTACTATATGAATCCATAGCAAGGATGCAACAGTGTCCCTGTAATCTAGCTATCATGTTCCTTCTCACTAATAGAATCCAATGTGGTGGTACCATCTATTTGGAGGTTGACTGATTTTTCACTTCAGCTCCTAGATGGATTGCATTCCAGATCTCTCTCATTTCTTGCTGACTGTTTAAGATAGCCTTCTCTGTTGAAGATCAGTGACCCTGGATTAATTTTTAACACAAAAAGGTATCTCCGCTCCAAAAAGCTGGTGTTCCTTTTGTCCAACACTCAACTCAAGGATCCAGGTGGAATCCTATTGGATATTTTTAGCTTCACTAACTAGGTGCTAGACAACTTCAAATTTGGGAGGAAGGATAGATGAGCCAGACAGAGCTCACATTGAAGTGACCAATGGCTGAGTAGTTAAAGCTGAAGAAACTACACTCACTCTGTAGTATAGTAGCTGTAGGATCTAGCACCTACAAGGCATGCTTAGGCTGGGGCTACGTCTTCACTACAGGGGGGGGTCGATTTAAGATACGCAAATTCAGCTACGCGAATAGCGTAGCTGAATTCGACGTATCGCAGCCGACTTACCCCGCTGTAGGGACGGTGGCAAAATCGACCTCTGCGGCTTCCTGTCGACGGGGCTTACTCCCACCTTCGCTGGTGGAGTAAGAGCGTCGATTCGGGGATCGATTGTCGCGTCCCGATGGGACGCGATAAATCGATCCCCGAGAGGTTGATTTCTACCCGCCGATTCAGGCGGGTAGTGTAGACCTAGCCTGAGACAGAAGAGTCTACCAGGATCAAAGATGAGACGTTAGGCCCCAGTTTCACAAGCAGTTGATTAGAAAAGGACAATTTAACAAAACCTGGCAGCTCCTGAGCTCCATTTTAGAAAAAAAGAATTAGGCAGGCCTGTTCCACCAAGGAGGAAACCCTGCTCAGACCCAGATATGCTTCCCTCTCAGATTTTACTAATACTCACCATCATTTAGCTAGAAATTGAAAAGAAAAAAAAACCCTCCATCTTGTGAGCAAAACCATAGGTATATTTGGTGCTGTTGCCACTATATATATATATAAAAAAAAGGTAGGATCTGGTGCCAGTGCTGACTCAAAATGAAAAAAATAACAGTACAATTTCAAGAGTCAATAACAATATTTTAGAACATCCCCAGAACAAAGGTGTGCAAAAATAATGTTTTGAGTAAGAAATCCTATGTTGTAAAGTGAATATGAAGTGACAAACTAAAAATTAAAGAAGAGTGTCCAGTTAAATTTATCTAAGATGTCTGTTACTTCAAGTGCTGGACTTCTACTGTTTGCTGCATGGATAACATGAGCCTCTAGCTAAAAGAGGGGCCAAAGCAGAGTGCACAGTTTAGGGCTCACTCTATTTAAAATAGTATGGTAAAATACAAAGGGATTATTCTTTTTTAGAAAAACCATCATGACTTGGGTTGAAAAAGTGCCAATAAAATGTCCCAAGCCAACCCTAAACTTCAGGCATTATATTCCATTGTAGACATTTACCACTGCATGCCATTTTTCACAGATGTAGTAGGTGTAAGGTGGTAACTTTCTTCGCCAGTCTGGGGAATTATCAGCCATGCCCAAATCAGTCTTTAGCCCTTACATCCTGGCTTCATTTATCCAAACAACAAACTAATCTTCCAGCTGGGGCTTTCTACCTAGCTACAACTCCCAGGACTTCCCATCTACATCTAGAGTATCCCTTCCCTAGCAACTACTGCAGGAGACTGCAGCTTCTCTCTGTAGTTAGCCCCTTTCTCTATCAACCCCCAGTTTCCTGCAGCAATTTATAGGAAACTCCTGTTCCATTTTCAGCTGCATCTGATTAGTGAACAGGGATGACTGGCCCCAGGCCGCTGGCCCTTAAAGGGACAGACCACCCTATTATAGTACAGATATTAGCAATGGCATCCTGGCAAAACTCCAGTTTGGATTATACATTCTGCTTACCTAAATTCCCACTGCAGTTTCAATTGGAAAAGTTATTTTCTTACTACTTATCCTAAACTATTGTGTAGTATTATTGTGTTCTGTTAAATACCTATTTTGTTCCATCCCAAAAGTGACTGCACTTCAGTAGTGGGTGCAGTGGTTCCTATATACAGTTTAAAATGTTTACAAAAATGTTGGCATCCTTTTGGTATGAAAGAGATATATGAAGGTAATTTTAACTACTGTCTGGAAAACTAATACAAACTGGACATACCAAAACAGTCAGTACAAATTCTCAGATTTTTTCTCTTCAGAAAGTTTGGGTTGAAGTAGCTTAGCTATGAAATCTGGTTTTGCAACATTCAGTCTTTGTTCCCTTCCATTTTGTCATTCTACACAGCAGGTGTTAGTGCTGTAATATCTGCCTGTTCTCGCATAGCTAGAGATTTGGTGTCTCTTCTCTTATAGGGAAACTGAGCAAGTGAAGTCTGAGCTGAAAGACCTATGAGCTCCCCCATGAACTCCACTCTAAAAATATAAGCTAGAATCAAAACATCCCATGTTACAAGTCAATATTATCTTCCTTAATTTTTGTATGTTTGAGTTGTTCAGCACAAATGTTTGTCCACACTGCTAATGTACTAGTTTTTCATCTAGTGCTGAAACAGGTTTATAATGCTCAACAAATAAATACTTATGTCACAATGTGCACTCTGATCTCATCCCCAAAGCCCTCAGTTACTGATTATTACAGCATACCCCGTTTCCTCCATGATGCAGCCACCCCAGGATTCTATGCAGTCACATTCTTCTCAGACAAAACCAAACATACAAAAGAAAGAAGGAAATTTGTTATAAATATACTGGCAGCAAAAATAAAATGTTTTATAAAAAGAAGGTTTTAATTAATATATATGGCGGTCAGATGGCTGTTTATCATAACAGAATCTAGCCTTAAAACTGGAATGTCCTTGTCCATATTATTTTTGTTCCATCTGCTTTGAATTATTATTAACAACATCCCAATCTATCAATCAACTTATGTTCACTGCATATAGAGCAGAAAGTGGTTGAATGAAAGGGGTTTATACTAGCTACATCATCTAAGTCAACAATGACTTATTTGTTAATTGATTAACATTACTCCTGTATTTTTAAAGTAAAAATGTCTTACAATCTGCAAGACAAGAATTATATAGTGTGGACAAGAATCTGTTAAAAAGAAATACTGTATTCTGGATACCTTTGCAAACATTCAGTATTTCTGAACACAGAATAACCACGTCATTTGGTAGAATTTGCTTCTTTTCTAGCCATATTATTTACACCTTGGTCAGTTTTCCATTGTTAGGCTATTGTATCTATCTGCTGGGTAATGCTACTAATGCTTGCATTTCTAACACCACGTTCAAAAATGATGTTGAGACTCAGTTTACTTGCTACTCTCTGCAAGATATACCTAAAACAAGGATATAATTTCTTGATTATTTTTTTTAAAGGAAAGAGTACTAACCCACCCCAACAATGAGAGGAAAGTTGCCCCTGACTAGATTCTACTGCTTTTTGAAGGATTTGATGACATCTCCACTACACAACATATATCAATAATTATCACACAACAGTACTGGAGATAGAATAGGAAATAACTGTGCTAAGTAAAAGGAAATAATGCTGTAACTCAGATACATGGTATGGTAACTGCTAATTAATCGTGACCACATAATAGTGAAAGGAATACTGCTTTGACAAATATTTTGATGAGAGAAATTTGGACAAGCATGTCTGAGATACTCAAAATTGGGGCCTCATCCTGGACTCCTTAGGTCAAATTCAGAAGTGATACATAAGGTGATGAAAGTTACTCAGAACCAAATCCAAAGCCCACTGAAGTCAATGGAAAAACTCCAAATGGAAAATGGAAGTCAATGGGCTTTGGATCAGGCTCCCCTAGAAGTACTTACACCCACTCTACTCATGTGCTATAGTGTTTAAGTTGGGCTAATTCACCTGCTGTGGAGCAGATGTAACAAAGATGCGAGTTAAACTACCATCGTCCAACATTAATTTATATTTTCTTGCACCTTCTTGGAGTTTAAGTTAGACTCCTTTGCACATAGATTCCATGTGACTTAATTACATCAATTCTATTTAAGTTATAGGTAAGGGAGTCTGAGTGCAAGAGGAGTGGTCTAAGTTAGCATAACAGGTTCTAAATTACATCACTGTACACATCAATTATGAATTTGATCCCTTGACTCAGACAAAAGTGTCACTGAAGTCACTGAGAGTGATGACTGTAAAATGAATGCAAAGCCGGGTCGTGATTTATTTAGCCTTGATTTGGATAAACTCAAGTTTTGGTTCTTATTGTAATTCTCCAGCGTATAACAAAAGCAATTGCTGTATGTTATTTATAGTTATGTTGATGTACATTTGTATGTAACCACACACTTTACAAAAAGCTTGTATGTTCGGCAAAAGAGGAAGACAGAAGAAAGTCAATGCATAATGACAGTACATACTCGGTTTTCTGGTTGCTGGCTCCCACTGTATTCCCAGGTTCTGAGCCAAACTTTGTGATAATTCCTGTGCCATAGCCAATGGGAGGGCATACTGTTTTTAGAGGGGAGGATAACAGTAAAGATAGTACACAGTTAGTTATTGCAAATTATATTGCAACACTTCATTCTGGTTTACTACTAATTCAGTACCGTATACAGTAATTTTATCAAACCCATGTGTGACTGCATGCATATACCAAAGAAACAAAGGCCAGAGAAGCTGGTACCTGCCTTTAACAAGCAGTCAATCTGGTCCATTCAGTACCTTTCACAATGAAAATACAAATTTTTCAAAGCAAACTAATTAGGATGATATACATATTGGGCCAAATTCTCCTCCCAGTTATATGCTGGTGGAACCCCACTATCGTCAATGGGGTTCCACTGGCTAACTAAGAAGAATTTATGTAGAGGGCAAAGGTTTTGGGCAGCATAGCTAGATCCATGTCATTACAATGGATTTTCAACAGCGTTGTTGCGTTTTTGGTAGTATTGTCAGAGGCTAAAACAAAGTGCCAAATATAAGGATTGGTGAATTCATAAGGAGGAAATTGTACATTTAAAACATTTTAATAGAAAGAGTTACCTCATTCACTCCAACTCCTCTGGTCACAGAACAAACCCCTCCAAAGTAACTCAAGCTGCTCCTCTTGTAGTGAAATGTCACATTCCTTAAGAACATAAATAAATTCATTAATTAAATAAATAAAATTAAATAAAATAGACATAGGATGTTGAATGGGAAATTTAATGCAGTAAACTTGAATAGGACACCCATTCAGTCATCTAAAAGATCAAATTCCCACATAACAATATATGTTGTGCGCACTGGTATTCATTTAATATCTATTCATTTAGAGACAAATTCTCAATGGTAACTGATTCACTTTTAAAATGGAACACATCAAAAGACTGAACTAGATGAAACTTGCAACAAGGAGACACTTATTTTGTAGATTTAGCCCCACCCTCAACCTGCAAACAAAAATCAGAAAGTGCAAATATATCAGATGTTCTTAAAAGAAAAAATGATGCCATTTTCATGAGAAGACAAAAACTGTGAAAATGTTCCAGTTTATTGTAAGTTGTCAAGAAGGAATTTCTGCAGTAAAATATATGTAATCAGTTTAGCACATCTCCACTGTGATGTTCTTAAACTAAAATCATGATACTAATTCATTATATTTTACCTTGACTCATTTTATTTCAACCTATTTAAAAACTGTATAGAATTCAGTACTTTTCCTGTAGATGTATTCTGCCATTTTTAATCTAGGCCTACATCCGCCTCATGTAATCAGTTTTTTGCTACATAACAAATGCTACTGTACCATGTAATGACATTCTCTAAATAGATTGTTTTTTGTAGAGTGGCTAATGCCCCATAGAAATAAACTGTATGATTTTATAAAGAATCTTACAACTATTATGGATAATAATGGATCCACACCTCCAAGGGGCCCTGAGCTTCAAAATTATTCTTCTCCTGCAGGGAAATTTCTTGCCCTGAGTTCTTGTTAAAAAAACCCCAAAACAATGACATTCCAGCCATAGAGGAGGAACTCTGAAGGCCAGGACCTTATGGCATTTGGGTTCTGAGGAACAGTGTTATGCACAGTCCTTCGCTGATGTCTCAACAGATTTCTTCTCCAAATGACTGAAAGGAAGCTAGGATGCAACAGAAAGGGCTGTGCAACCTGAAGACAGCTACCCAACTGACAGCTCTACAAACAGTGACAAGTGAAAGGGACCCAATGGCCTGGAGAACTTCACCCACACAATAATCAATTTAGATGAGGAACGAGAGAGCCTCCCCTCACCACCACCACCACATAAAGCCATAGTCTCCATTGCTGGACCTTTCCTTCTCTTCCGCACCCCTGGCATAACCACGACCCTAAGATTAGAAGGCTAGATTCTGGAGCACATTTCTATGTTTTGGAGACGATCTTGCAGCAGGCAGATTGTGGAATCTTGAGAACCTTAGTCAAAGTAAGTTACGGTTACAACAGTGGATGCTAGATGTACTAGATCTTGCTAATCCAAACAGGAATGTCAAATTTTGTAACATTAAGCATCTTTGGATTGGATTAGTACTTGGACAGGTGACCCTTTGAATATACTTCATTTTCCAGGTTTGCTGACTGTCTAATAACAATAACTACTCATAATGGATTTATTTGTAAATAAGCTTTATTTTGAATGATTTTATATACAGTACAGAACTTGATGCCTTGACTTGAAGCATAATGGTAATGCTCTACAATACTATATTAGAGACCTGGGCATGATTCATTTTCCTGTTATCTTTTCAATTGACTTCAACAGTAAAAAAAAAAAAAATCAAGCAGCCTGCTGCCACACTGCCATGAGTTGGGATCTTATCAGAAGTCACAAGCTAAGGCCAGGCCTAGTTGGTTCTTGGATAGACTTCAAAAGGAAAAATGAATCTGAAAAACACGGTATCTTCTGGGCACCAGACTGCAGCCATTATTTCATCTCCTATGGAACCTCATCCTTCAGTTCCAATTACACTGCTACCATCAGTTTTTCTATTATAGTTCACATTTAATTGTCTTTAAGGGATATTATATAAATGTAATTTGGAAGTTCAATTGCACATGAGTCAGTAAATTCAGATGAGAGTCTCACAGGCCCCTAACCCAACTCTCTTTTGTGTATAATACTTTACAATTTCAAGTATCTTTATTTCATGACCACACAGAATTAAAAGATACAATATATTAATTCAGCAAGTGACAGTATAATATTTAGAAAGGATGCAATTTCTTTTATGAGTCCATGTAAATAACATTTTGTACAATTACAAATCTTACAAAATCATTCCATGAAGATTCTGTTGTAATTCACAAATAGAAGGAGGCAGAGTTATGGAAACTGTGAAACTCTAATAGCTCTGGCTTAATGTTCTATTAAATTGTTTTTCGTATCACTGTAAATGTCGTAAGTAGGGTTGCCAACCCTCCAGGATTGTCCTGGAGTCTCCAGGAATTAAAGATTAATCTTTAATTAAAGATTATGTCATGTGATGAAACCTCCAGGAATACATCCAACCAAAATTGGCAACTCTCAAATCATTTTATAAGGAAGAGAAAAATCATTGAAGCAAAGGTGGGACATTGAACTACGATGATAAATATTACAAGAGTAATTCTATCCTTAAGATAAAACTCTTGAAACTGAGCTGCACAGCCTCTAATTATAAAAAATGCACACGAAAATGCTTCATAAATAGGAGATTGTTATGAATAATTATGTCATAGATGAAAAACAGATTAGTGTCCGCCTTGTTGCAGTGAATACAGTAAATCAACACAAAAAAACAATGGAAACCATGGTATAGAACCATATTCCACTACCAGCAAGATTTTTTTCACATGAATAAAAAAGCCACAATCCTGTAGTCCTTGCACACACAACACTCCCATTAAGGGTGGCCAGGTGCCCGGTTTTCGACCGAAAAGTCTGGTCAAAAAGGGGACATGAGTGTCCAGTCAGATCTACTGACCGGACATACAAAATCCAGTTACTGCGGGTGAGGGAGGCACTGGGTCATCATCCGCGCCAGCCCCTACTCAGCCAGGGCTGCCTCCTACCTGCGTCAGGCGGCTGCAGCTCCCAGCCCCGCAGGTTAGTCCCTCCTGACCTGGGGGGAAGGGGAAATGCAGCGAGTGATGGGGGAAGGGAGAGAGAGGAGAGGATGGGGCGGGGCCTCGAGGGGAAGGAGTGGACAGGGCAGGGCCTCGAGGGGAAGGGACAGGCAGGGGCAGGGCCTCGTGGGAAGAGGCGGGTCAGGAGAGGTTCCAGCACTCCTGCTGGACTGTCCATTTTTTAAATATTACCAAGTTGGCAACCCTAACTCCCATTTAAGTCAAAGAAGATAGGATGTACAATTGTTGCAGGACTGGACCCTAGTAGACTATCCCTCCTTGGCACAAAAATTAAGTATACAAGAGCTGTGCATAGGGAAAATCCTTAAAAGCCTTTGGTTATATCTATGTCCATACTTGCAACAAATGTAATGGTTCCACAGTCAATGTAAAACTAAAAATAAAGTGGTAAATCTGCACACCACCAACCAGACCAATTATCTTGGCTGGATGCTACGGAGATCAGTGAGTAAGGAGGAAGAATTCACACCATCCCTGCCCAGACTGTAGAGTGGCAGAAAAACCCACTGGAAGCTACTGGCTGGAATAGTTTCTGCACCCCTAGCATTTGCCTTCAACAGATGAGGATAAAATTGAGGACCTGCATACGGACAGATCCCCTACCCTGTCCCCTACAGACTGTTGTACCAGAGACCCCTTGCATAGCTAGGTTCTGAACTGCATAATGGATGTGCAACCCTATGACCCCCCCCCCCCCAAATCTCCCCCCCCCCCCCCCAGCTATGTGCAGCAAAAACATTGTAGTTTTCTTGCCAGAGGCCTCTCTGTGCCCACAGACATGTAGGTAGGATTTGCACCAATATGCATAGCTTCTCAGGCCAAATTCATTTCTGGTTTAAGCATGTGAAACTCCATGAGTTCCCATGATTGATTTCAGTGCAGCCATAGGGGTGAGTAAAATATGGCACTGGAACATTCCTGTAGAGGACACCCTCAGTTCTGCCCTCTCCTGCTACTCACTGGAAGGAGGATGGTATATTGCAGAGCTGGTTGACGTCCCAAACCCCCCAAGGGCACACTAATAGTCATGTTTACTCAATCCTGTAGCTGCACTGAGTTCAGTCATAGGAGTATAGCAGCACCATCCCGGACCCTCAAGAATGTCTTTGAGATCTGCTGGCCCCACCATGGGAACCTCTATGTAAAATAATCTAATATACAATATAAAAACTATCACATGGTCATCAATAGAAAAACATTCAGGAGACTAGCGGGCTCTGTTCCCTGATAAAAAAGCTGCATATACAAGTACTTTTTTTTAAGATAGCAAACTATAAAATCAAACATCTACTCTAATCAAAGATCTAATCAGATCTCATTAAAGATATGGCTAGAGCACACTATGGTAAATGTCTGGGCTCTATTTACAAGTGAATAATAGTTGTATAGGCTTCAAAATTTCATAATACACGTTGGTATGCCTGTAATATACCTTGTTGCACACTGTGGACAGGACTATTACTAGATTAAAATACCAGAAACTGGCAAATATAGCCAAAGGTTGGTTGATGTGCAGGCAGAGAAGAAGAGAGAGAGGTAGGTTGGCAGACAAGCATACATTCTACATGCGTAAAAACTAATGGATTAAACCATCATCTAATAGTACATACGAGAGCAGGTGTACAGCATCAGTATGTTGTTTGATGTAGTACTGTCGATATTTGGAGAAGTCATGAAGCATCTGCAGAGGGTCAGGGCGAATATTAATACGATCCCTGTCTGTCCAGGTTTCCACAGCAACCAAAACCACCCTGGTGTTCAGCTGTTCCTTGTATATCTGGGGACAGAGACAGGACAGACACAGGAGTAGAACACTGGGTCAGACATGCACAGTTAGCCAGTCAGAGTCAGCAGAAGGACAAGGAGGATAAAGAAAGAGGGAAACATGGGGAAATAGTTAGCTGATATGCCTAAAAATCTATAATCTGCTGATCTTATTTTATTAAATTTACTATTCTAGAGGACAAAATCCAGTTTCCAAATTCCAATTTTGACCTCCTATTTTTCCCCTTTACTGTTTCTCATGTCTGATCAAGTAACTGATCACTACACAGGAATATCTACATTTCCCCATACAAATTTCCTAAAGATACACTGATTGATCTCAATTACCAAGGAAGAGGTCACACCAATCCTCAATCAACCTGAAGGAAAGTAGAGCTGTTTTCTCCAAAACAGTTCTACAAAAACTTTTTAATTCACACATATACTTTGATTCTCATTTACACTAAGACCACTTCACTCCCACTTTAATTCCTCTTTACACTGCGAGAGTGGTATAAATACTATTTACACCAACTTTAAGGGCCACCTTGTCCTACCAGAGCAGGGTAAATGGGTATAAGTGTAAATGAAAATCAGGCCCTAAACATTTATTAACATAACTTTAAGATATAAGTAATCTTTGTTCACAAAGGTTTATTTCAGTGATAGAATAAATGTTCTATATAATTCAGAGTTTAATGTACTATATTTTCTATAACATATTCAAGACTTGCAAGTTTGCAAAGGACCTTATATTCCTCATTCATATTTGTTTGTCTGCAATTAGAAAGCATGGCCAAGATGACACATGAAGAGGACTCACTACCCAGATAGAATCAGCAATGTTTTAAGCAATTAATTTTTAATTCATATGGCATACAAACAGTTACTAAAGAGCATCTCCAAGAGTCACCATATTTTTTTACAAATACACTTTTTAATTTTTTTCATCAAATTATGACTAGAATGTCCAATATAATGTATAACTATCCTGCCTACTGAAATGTGATGGGTGCATCCACTGAATAAATCAACAATCACATTAGCCCTTTTATTAGAACATCAGCCAGTTTATGCCTAAAAGGAGTCAGCAGGCAACACACAGGTTGGAAAACAGGCAGTGAGCACAGGGACAGGAGAGATCAACCAGACAAGTTTAATTTCATCCAGAAAAGATTTGAAAGAAGGAATTGCATATCAAGAAAAGTCTTGTGATAATGTGTTCTTTCTAAAGGAGTCAAGTTGAGAGTACGTGTAATCCATTGTTTGTGGGAGGGTGATTTATTGATTGCCAAAAGCAATATCATGAGATTATGGAAATCCAATAAGGCCAGATGAATAAAATCTTAGTTGATGTTTGATGGCTGGGAGTTACCCTATTTCCTGAAGCAGACAGATATTGTGAGTAGGTGGAGAGGGGGCATGTAAGGACCTGATACTCTCGAAGTGCCAGTAACCAGTAACACTTCAGCAAGAAACACAGCCATGCCCCCTGGATCCATAGGGGGAATGCAAGGAGGAAACTTTCTGCTACATTTCAGGTTCCTTTTAAAATAAATGGAGACACCACGCTACAGGCCCTTCATGAAAGGAAAAGTGGACAGAGTCTGAATGTTTATGCACCCAGCAGTCGGTGTACACTCTTGCTAAAACCCACTGTGCAAATTATTCCTGCATTGATCAGTGCTAATTTGTAAGGGTGGGAGTGTGTGCATGGCCACTGGCAGCCAAAATAAGGACACAATAGCATTGTTTACTGCAGAATTTGGTCAAAATATTTCTTAAGATACATTCACTGACTTCCCAGACTCAAAAATCATTATTCTGAAATTAACTACAAGCAAAAAGGGAGAAAACCAAGAGAATTAATAAAAACAGAAAGTAATGAGAGATCAAATGAGTTCTATCAAGCACTGTAAAAATACCAAGGGGAAAAAAAGACCAGAAAATTTTAAGAAAATATAGAGTCTGTGTCTTTTTAGAACTCATCCTACTGAAAATTTATTATAGTACAATATATTTTAGACATATTTAAGCTAGTCATACCCTGCTTGCTCAATCAGAGCCCATATTGAGATGACAGGGATGTTTTGGAAGGGTTATTCATCAGCAGGAGTTCCCAGAGGCATTCTAGCTGATTTAGCTAGAATTCCTATGAAAGCTAGGGGGAGTCAATGCCAGTGCAAGGGCTGCAGCAACCTTTAGCATGATGCAGAATGAGCTTTCCCTACGTCAGCTTAATTCTACTGCCCAGTGTGGAAGAGGATGGAGGAACGCTGGTCCTAATTATCCCTGTGTTTGGGGAATCTAACAATGCCAGTAGGCGCTTAGTCCTTGACATCAGAGGATGACATTCATCTATGGTGCACAGGGCTAGCAAAACATCCTTCCTCCATATCACTTAAGACCAGTATTAGGGTTTAGCGGAGGAGTCACAGAGCAAGTGGTTACACAAGGATGTCTATGCACGCCTGCATGCTGAAAAAAGAATCTTTGTACCATCCTATACAAGCTGGCACAAATGGCTATCCTGAGGGTGGGGTGGAGTCAGGCCAAAAAAGGGGTATCTCTGTTGGCGCCAACATCCTTCACAAGTAACTCTCACGTAGGCACAGAGCTAGCTACAATGTTAACCTGGAAGGAATTCTGAGATTTTCTTGGGTTGAACTGTATTTGCCTCTGTCCTTTGTTTTCCTATCTAGTCACTAATGTATATTTAATCTTTCTGTACCCCTTGTTTGGGGATGTGTAATATAATAATGCAGAAACAGTCCCTATTTTCAAATGATTGCTCTGATAGGACTCTCTCTGAAACTATAGGCTGTTTCACATTATTACTGAAAAACATTCCAAGGCACTTCAATATTTTTATGCATTATATTTGTATTCACTTAAAAACTATGCAATGTACTTCATGACATTTTATGTACAATATATTAAATAATTAAAGAAAAAGATTAGGTGGTATTTCCTCCACGCTATACTGGACTGAACTGCACCACACAATACCACTGATTTCAGTGGAGTTTCAAGGAAAGAAGAGTCTGACTCAGAGTCTTGCTAACAATTGTATTCATAGCTTTATTTACCAACCTCAAAGAACTGAATTAACCGGTGGGAAAAATACAAGAGGAAATATAAAGTGCACAAAACAATCCTAACATATATGCCACAAGTATGATTCATCACATTTCTTTACTGTAAATAAATTATAGCTGAATGTGTTGGGATATGTATATATATATCAATCTACATTGTGATTCATATATCCAGGTAATATGTTATAGGTCATTGAGGCCTGGTATGAATGACACGTGCTTGACATGAATATGTGCATTGCAAGTTGGCAACAGAAGCAAGAACTTAAGGTCAAGGACTATTAGAACTATTTGTGCAAAAACAAATAGTGCAAAAACCTGTTCTTGTTATGTTCTGAGAAAAATACGGAAAATCAGCAGAAAAGGAAACAACACCAGCTAGACTGATATAAAATTGTATAAGAATTGGAGGAAATGGCACGCCTTGGATCATGGCAGCCCGCCCAGGATTGTCTCTTTGTAATTGTGTGGGTAGAAGGCCTAGTAAACAAAGGCAAAGAACTGATGAAGCGACGGAATGGACTATAAATGGTTGCCTATAATTTCTGCAAATTAGAGTTGTTTATTGATCCAGAGTCCCATGTGGATGTAGAAGTGGTTTTTGCTGGCTCCCCACATCTTATGATCGGAAGGAATCTCGACTGGCCATCGGGACCATTCTGACCTTTGGACTCTGGTATAGTATGTTTGGGGTGTGAATGTGTAGTGAGTAAGGTTTGTTTTGTAATCAATAAAGAGCATTTAGAGTATTATATACCACTACCGTGTCCAGTATCTGCCTGCTCCCCATCCCGTACGGAGACCTCTACTGCGGGTCTAACATGCGGTGGAGAATGCGGAGGGGGGAGAGATATTAAGGAGTGCCGGATTTCGAGACGGGTTCTTACAGTGTTGGGGGAGTCCTTATTTAAGACTAATAAAGGTGACTCCTTATTTGTGAGAAATGTGTGGGAAAAAAAACATGTGGGGAGATACCACGTGGTGTTATTGTAATAATGTTTAAAACACTGTTTAAGAAGAGAAGTAAAGGGGTGAAAGAGGCAACCCAGTGGACTAAAGTTAAAATCCCTTCTGTTAGAGAAGGAGATTATTGCATTTGGGACATGCCCTTGGATGGAAGGTGCAGTGGAACCAGATGTAATATTTGATATCTTAGAAAACATGTTTGAGAAATATGTACGACTGTACAAACCTAATGCCAGTAAAAAGCAAATAGCATAGTATCGGGCTGTTGTGGCAAGCTGTAAAAAAGGCAATTGCATGTAAGGGGGAAGTCTGTGCAGAGTTACAAACATTACAAGAGAATTTTAAAACTTGCCAGGAAAATTTGGAACGGGAAGTGAGGCAGGCACAGATAATGCAAACTCAATTAGAACAAATGGGGAAACAAAATAGGGAATTGGAGAACAGAATGATGGATTGGGAAAAGATTAAAGCAGATAAAGATAAATTAGGCCATCAAGTGATTGGAATGAAATAGTTAATTCGAGATTTGACTAAGGAAAAGGAAGAGGAGATCGCAAGCGTTTCTCACAGTTGGTGCCAGAAAACTATAGCAGCATTGAAAAAGCAAGTGAAAATACAGGAGCTGCAAGTTGCGGCTGTGTGTCAAAAAGAGATAGATTTGGATTTGGATTCCAGTGATATTTAGTATGGAGAGGATCTGCGAGGGGGTCAAGAGAAAAGGGAATTTGACCAACCTCGAGATGGGCTTTATACTGAGTTGAGGGAAGAAATAAGAAACTGTCCGGGAGAGCCTAAGCCAGAAAAGTCTGAAGCAGTGATAGAATGGAGATCAACCATTAAGGATGCAGCGGGGGAGATACAGTCAGAGGAGACACAAATAATTTGTGCAAGTTCATCAGACTTCAGTTGATGGTAAAGTCATTAGGCCCAGTGAATATGAAAAATTTAG